ACAGAGAGATACGAAATGGCTCCACAGAAATGTCTCTGTAGAGTGAAATGTCACAAATTTTTTTATTGGAGTTACCATGCCTCATCCACTGATAGTCGTCTCACTTTTCATTAAGTCTTAATATATCAATACAAAATTGTTCTTGCTGTTATAATTATTAAATTGTATTTTAAAAAAAGCTAGCGATTTATCAGTAAGATTGAAGTGTCACAGATATTCCCCCAAATACTGACATACAAAAGTCACCATAGTATTTTATCCTTTACATGAACAATTCATTATCACAAACTGTATTTAACAGCATAGAGACCAACATTATCCAAACAAATTTCATCAAGTCAGATAAATTATTTCTGTCCTAAACAACGTACTACTTTTGGATATCCAGTTTTTGAGTTCATTTTTGTTTTAATTCAATCTATGAGGAGAACTAACCACTACGAAATGCTGCTCAATCTCTTCACCTTGCGTACCTTCCTTTGGCTTCTGCTTAACGCATACATAATAGAGATCTGCCGAACTGTAAATTAGAAACAAACGAGTGCTAAAAAACTATGAAAACTAACTTTGAAGCAGTAATTAGTCAGATAAATAAAAACCGTCAAAGACAGAGAAAACAAGTAATAGGAAACAGTTGGAACAAACTCAGGGAATGCCGCCTTAACGACCACACGTTTCTCGGTCTGAATGGTAAAATCGGGTTGTGTGATCTCAATATCGGATGTTGAACAGTTACGCAAAAATCGTGTGAAAACAACCAATGCTATATCATCCATTCCGAAACCAAACAATACCACTCGGACTGGAACATCCGGTTGTACTATCGATACTTCTTTATCACTGCAACTCCAGAAAGTATCACATCATCTAATTATCAGCTGGTTTGAACATCTAGAATATATCTCCATCGCTCGCGCACTATCAACAATGAGTTCCGCAAATGAAAAAAAAAACACAAATTCTTATCCCATCAACTGCACAGTTGGTTCCGGAAAATTTTGGATGTGATGTGATCAAATAGTTAAGAAAATTAGTATGAAATTAAGAAGGTGCCAAAATGACGCAAAATCTATAGCAGCTGAAAAGAAGCAACGATATTACCGCATTCGCACATTCCAAAAAATCATTACTTTCTGTAGTTTTATTCAAAAATGTTATCAACCGCAGATTTCAGTATAGATCAGCTTAATTTCAGCGTCCAGCATGCACACACAATTTCACGTCTCACTTCGACATTGTTCTCAATCAACTTGGAAATAATTTAATTCCTCAGGGATAGTTTTTTTACTCAGTAAAATAGACACAAGAACTTTTCAGTGCTCTTTATGGGGAGAAAGCTGAAATGTGAAATGATATTTAACACTTAATATTATTCTCACTCGCTGGGCTCTTTTCCGTCAACAAAGTTTTCACATAAACAGTTTTCAGAGACTGCTTTTTTTCTGCTTCATGAGATGATTCATTAACTCCATTGATCCCCCATAGGTACATACAAAACATAAATGCTAATTATGAAACATTCAATGAAAAGAAACGATTTGAAATTTGCATGACAAACCCTCATCTGCAAGCGTTCTTTCGTACAAAATACAATTTGAAATAATATCAAAATTTGCAACTGTCAACGATATAAACTACGATTTTTTAATGAATGCTGTATGCCAATGTACCAAACTTAAGTTCACATTTCTACACTGTGCCGCTTCACCGAAAGCGTCTTTTCCAATCCACCGTACTTAGTAAGGTAGATAAAAACAAGAAGTGGAATCCTTACAAATCAAATCATCTTTATTTTGAAAGAAGAATATAGAGACCATCACATGTTTCAAATCTGTATTTCAGAACTTCCTCTCCTTTCACCGTCCCACTATCAAAATACATAATAAATTAGTAATTTAGTTCGAACAATTCTGATAGAATTAAACTGCGCTCAGCCTCTATAAATTTTATTTATGGAACAACAATATCTATTTGTGCAATTGACCAATCACATAATTTCTATTGCGTTCAATAAATTTTGACAAAACAGTAACGGAATGTTAGTAAACATGTACCACAATGCCAATTGGCCAATCATGTAACAACATACAACTTACTTATAACCAACGAAACCGTTATTCTCGGACGGTAGCCCCTCGACTCTGATTCCAGCTAGGTGTGTTTTCTTCTCGGTGGTTATGAAGCCAGTATCACTTACAGGCTGCAACCAAATTAACACTCAATTCCTTACACAACTATAATCGCTTTCCCGTGAATATGAGTTAAAAGTTAGCAGCAATTTCTGAAATCCAAATTTTTACTTCTAATAAGAAGTTGAAAGCAGAATTTCTACTCTTTCACCAAATCGATTTTTAGGTTCCTAATAAATTTTTTTTTGCTTTAGTTTTTAAATTTCATCAAACACCAAAGGAATCACTCTCAAATGATCAAACGTCTTTCGCAAAAAACAATTATGTTAGAGATTGATTGTAAGACAAAATGTATCAGAAATGAATAGATTTATTTTTAAGGATAACGTTTTGTGTACTCATAAAGTAGTCAACTAAATAGAGCGGTTGTGATTAAATTTCCGAAAACGTCATCAAAAATTACTCACTTTTAGTTCTTGTTTTTGTGGAAAGCAAAATGGGAATAGAAAGCAGCAGGCAATACAAAAAACGCTATAGAAACGCCATATCCAGATCTGCATTCCCTTATCACCGAATTCTCTAAAAAGCGAAATTTTTATTCGATGTTTATAGCAACGAAATAAGTCGCGTTATTTTGATTAAAACAAAAAAAAACAAATTTGCAAAGAGAAAATATAGATATAGTGATTGGAGAGGAGGGGAGAAGAGCCTGATTAGAATAATACAAAGCATAGTGTTCGGAGTAATGGAAAATTTCGAAAGTGACCAGAGATCAGGAAAAAGCGGGAAAATACTTTTTAGAAAATTTCATTGTAGAATTACTGATTTAGACTTTCCAGTTTCTTCAAAATCTCTCCTCTTTCCATTATCTAAATTGCCATAGCAATTTTAAACACTAAAAACTAATAACAGTAAAGTATCAGTCCATGATCTCTTTTTTCTTTCTTTTTCTTTCTCTTTCTCTTTATATTCGTAAGTTGCTGAGTGCGCAAAATGTTACTGTCATAAGAATAATTTAAACATTTCTAGAATTTTAATTTTCTAGAGAATTTCCTGAATAGATTATAAAACTGAATTAATCTCGCAATTAACTTGTAATTTATTTCGAACTGAGCAAATAACGGAGAAAAAAGACTACTTGCACTATAATAAATAACACGCACAGGAAGTGATAGCGTTTACCTATAAGATATTAGTCGTAACATGAAAGGAGTACCCTTTAGCATTTCGGTATATCTTGAAGTTAGTCGACAATAATGCTCGATCTAAATGCAACTTGATCTGCTCAACTGGAAACTAAATGGGAAGTTACTAAAATGCCAATCCTCTCTTTCACTCTCTAATTTCTTTTCTTTTCTCAAACACATGAAATTAAACTGGTCCTGTGTCTTCGCTTGGAAGGCTTCCAGTTTTAATGTCAAATTTTCTTCTTAAATGATGTAAGAACAACACTCTGCTCTCTGTTATCAAGTTAGCAAGTCAATATTATGTCTCCATCTACCTACCAAATTAAACGACTTCACGTGCTATGAGCAAAAGTAAATAAAAAAACGTGTTTTTTTGCACATGCGATGTTGTGCATACATGCATCATTAAGAACGCAATTATTCGTAAATATACATCGATGAAAGAAAGAAAATATATGAACTGAATAATATGCTAAACAAATAATGAAGGATGATAATCGAGTTTAAAAAATTTTTAATTTTGTTTAATTTAAAACCCTCAACAGCCCATGCTAATGGGAGAAATTACGGGGATGATCGAACATTTGATATATAATATCGAACACAGCCACGAAAGCAATCAGCATCCACCGCACTCCATCCTTCCTTATAATGCGCTCAAGTGCTTTCTCCCTCAAAAGCCGTTGTGCAAATTTAACTTCCAAGTCTTACACAATACCCCGTGAGTCAACTATAACACTTTATAGTTATAACAGCTTATTTAGCACAAGTAGCGCTGGATAACAGTAGAATCACACTGATTTATCCTATGCGCAAAATCTTATCTCAATTGAATTTAATCAAGACAATCGCAAGTGAGAGAAGCTGAATTTGTGGCCGATTCAAGTCTTTATTCATTCAGACTCAAGGAGATATTGAATTTACGGTCGATTCGAATCTTCATTCATTCAGACTCAAATGATTGAGGAAGAAATCTACACTTCCTTTTCTGCGGACATCAGGTGGATATTACGTTCTAATTTACTCCACTGACATGGTTTTGAAATCAAATTTCTTTGATTTCAAAACCACAAATTTTTTTTTTTGAGGCGAAAAAAACCAGGAAGCAGTAATTTCTGGTCATGAAGTAAGACAAAAAGGAAGTGATGACCAACTGACAATCCGCCTGCCATATAGAATCTAATTCTTGCCAAAATGCTCTCGAAACTCAGCAGTGCCATTCCCAATCTTTATCTCGTACGGTATCAAAGATACGTAAACCAAAGATGAAAATACAGTTATTTTATACCCCTATGAATGGTGTTGTCCATTCATTTGCGTATCCTGAGAAATGTGCCTAACTGTATTTCATGGTTAGCCGTGGTTTTGAAACTGTCGGTGTTCCGGTGAGAGAGATTGTTAGCGATATTTCTGTGAGTGGGATATTTTGGATGTGATGTTCTGTAAGAAATGGGTTATTTAGAGTGGTCTCCTCGTAACTACGGGGATTATCTATGTGAAAGAAGAATACGCAGAAGAATGTAGTGTGTCATAAAAGAAGCATGGCATATGCATGCATGTAGAAAAATGAAATTAGAACAAGTCGTTCATGTTTATTTCTATATTATAGAAGAATGTTCAATTTAATCATTTTTTTCTTTCGTTAATTTAATTGTTAAAGACCCTGACTTATAGAGTTTTTAACATGAGAACAGAATGCACTGCAGATGGACCAATCAAGACGGATGACTTACATCATTTGAGAGAAGGCGAGATTTTCGTGGATTCCGAGAGCGGCAAAAAATTTCGAGTGCGGAAAACTGCTTTACCACAGCATTCAATTGGAGGACCACATGGAGTTGGTTTGTATGTCACTTTTGTTTACATCGAATGATATTAGCTGATCGCTACTTTAACAATCATTTTAACAATGTGCAATCACCAGACATTGTTATGCTTGTTTTGGTTAAAGAAAGCAAATATGGACCTCATTTCTTAGTAAAGTGATCTCTTTCTCAAAAGTGAATAAACTCAATGAAGAAATTCCCCGCCTTCTGATTTTAATAGTGTTCCCTTCTGTTTCAGGAGATCCAAATGACCGGTCGTTGCGTCGACTGGAAGCAGATGTTTTAATACCGGATCGCATGAACGAACGGATACAAAAAGTTGAATGTCGCGAATTGCTTGAAGGTCTTTTTTCTTTTCTGGCATTCTTGTGATACAGTGAAATGAATTCTCTGTTATCTTATTATACACTAGTTAACTGGAGAATGCTAACACTTGCAAATTTTCATATGCAGACTTTTTCCAAAATTTGTTAGTTGTTTTTAGGTTTGACGCGATGTCTTAGAAAAAAAGGCAGCCTTATTGGTATGAGAAAATGTCAGAAAGAGTTGGGGCAATACGAAGAATGTCAGCTTGCGAAGTAAGTGTTGTATGGCTTCTTAAGAATTTTCCACATTTGTGATGTATAGTATCATTTATTGAGCTGAGAGCGGTTTTGGGATATTGGCCACTTGTTGTGTTAACTTCGTTATCTAACTTCGTTATTTCATTATTTGAACTAGGTTTGGCCTTATATCAATCCAAGCATATGTTACGGATATTGGGTTTCCTTTTTTTTATACGTTACGGACCTACGTACTTTTGGACCCATTTTTTATTCTTAAATTTATTACTAAAGCTCTCGACTCTGTAGGTTTAACGATCCATGGTTCCGTCAAAAAATCACTGATGAATATATCAAAGAGCGAGCAGAATATCGTCGAACGGGAAAAAATGTAATGGAAAAAAAGTGGGAAGAATATTGCCGATATAAGAAGGAACGGGGTGATTGGACTGATCTCAGTATAACAAATAAGGTATCTAATGAGAGCTCTTAATTGGTCCTCAAGTTCATATGATAGTATATTGTATAAGCCTGAACTAAAGATCACTGTACTATGAAAGTCGCTGTTTTATCAGCTGACATTTTGAGCAGCAAAATGACCGTTTTTTTTAGGGATGAGTTCATAATATGGTTCTGTTAAAAATGTTCTACCCTTCAATCAGTCTTACTATTCTGTTCCCATTGAAGTTCTGGTGACAAGTTATCCATTTCTTATGGCTAACTATTATCCAACTATCAATTATATGCGAAATATAAACGACAAGCTAAGTCAATATATAAAATTTCAGAAGTTCAATGGAAGTATTGCTTAGTGCTTGTCTTTCTTTTCTAAGCTTTTGTAGTTTCTATTTCTATTCCTTTATATCTAGTTTGAATCATGGATCGATTGTAGGCACATTAACACCAATCATCAATTACTACTTTGTTAACCTAAATGTGTAAGGAGTTTTACGTGCAATACTTTTACTATTATTGCTGGTTTATATCTGATCTAGTTGATATTTTTTGTTCTGTATTATTCTGATTATAATGGACAAGTAAAATTTTAATAATTCAAGCTTGTGCTTGATGTTCTAAGATTTATGTTTTGATCATAGTTCGAGCATGTGACTCTGTCACTGAATGAAATATTGTTGTAAATTCGGGTATTATTGATCGTATCAATTAAAAGATTGGTGAAGTATATTGATAAAGCGTGTAAAATTTGGACTCTAATATTTATACCTCGACGATATATGGCAGCACCGAATCGCTTAACAATGGTACAGTGAAATCCCGTAGAAAATATATAGAAAATGCTAAATAGATTCAATTATTATTATTTTGGGGCATCCTGATTTAAAGTCAGGAACGAAATACATTTCAGAAATGTTGGGAATAGAGTGGTGTGATCTGTGTAAAGTCTATCTATCGTCGAGAGCATTACTGGATATACATGTTAATGGCAAACGTCACCACAAAAAGCTTATAGAGCGTGATGCGCTGCTGTCCTTAGCCGCTCGGTCGGTATTTGTTTCTGGACTAAATCCTGAAATTGTCGTCACCGACACCGAGGTTTTATTTAACCATTTCGTTTGCTTGCAAAAAAGATTGAAATGGGATTTTGTAGACTTTTGAGATTGTATACTTCTTTACTTGCCAAGTCGGAGCTTGATTTGTTTTTTAAATTCATTATTGGCGGAAGAGAAACCTTTCTTAAAAGATAAGCTGACAAGCATCGTGACTAAACAACAATTCACATATTTAATTTTGAATTCACCTTTTTACACTTACTGGAATTCCTTTGCAGATTTCAGAGGCCCTCAGCTGTTTTGGAAAGGTAGAAAAAGTTCATTTGGATATTAAAGGAGGCAAATATGCGATCGTTGAATTTGACCAAGAATTTTCGGCTAATAAAGCAATTTTTGAAGGCGAAGTTCATATTGGGCTTGTAACTTTTACTATGCAATATTTTCTATTTGATTTTTCTTCTAGCTTTCCTTTCCTTTAGCTGCGAACAGAAATCAGCGCATTCAGAAAACTATCCGAAAACTAAGCTTAAGCAGTTTTTACGAAATTAGTTCCACTTTGTGTTTGTTTTGATTGTTTTGGTCGTAATATATATATTTTCCGCACAATTTTATGCTTTGTTTTTTGTTGTAATATATTTTTCCCCATACAAATTATCACTGAAAATTCAGCAAACCGTATCGATACGACCACGCAAAATAAATTTCGACCAATGTAAGAAAAAGTTAAACTCGCATATAATCGATATTAATAAACTTATCAACGAAATTAATGGCTCGGCTACATTTGCTGAACAAGTGAATACTTTATTAGAACTGTATTGCCTCAATGATGCCGAGGTATGGTCAAAAATTTAATCTTGGATGTGAAATGGACGTAGTATTTTATTTGAACGATATTTATATTTCCCATAGAATGTTTGACTTCGTTATAGACCGGAAACATGAATGCTGATACAAGAACCGAGATCGAAAATTAGTGCAATTTTTTATTGAGCATGCATTAAATGTTTGAGTTGAGGAAACCAAATATACAAGAAGCTTTTTTAGGTTGCAGAACGAACCGATTGTACTCAAATGCTTACTGCAGCTCTCGGTGATTACTTTTCGTCAAATGTTCATGTGCGAATTTTTGGCTCCTCATCAACATCTCTTGGTACGAAAGGTTCCGACATTGTATGTTGTACATTCGTTCGAAAATCCGTTGATCAATTAATACTTGATTTTCCGCAGACATGATTTTTATTAAAATTTGATGTTTCGTTGCAAGAAAAAATATACCATTAGATTTCTAATGTTTCATTGCAACAATTATTTGAAAATCTAACAGTATATTTTTCAGTGAGAGAAGACTAAAGGATCCAGAGATGTTTATAAATTTAAATGGCATAATTTTGAAGTCAAATTTTTTAGGATGCAAGTTTGTTTTTCAATGTACCACTTACCGAAGCACATTCCGCAGGAGATTTGGCGAGGAATAAATATATATTGCTGACCTGCGATATTGCTGCATTAAGAGGGCGTAAAATTTGTGCTGAAGAATATGCTAGGCTTACCGAGGCTGGTTGGTTTATAGTAATACTTTTATATTAGTAATTCCAAATAATACCAAAAACGTAGATGAAAACTGTTGTTTCTCATGTTATGAGCGTCTTTTTGGGAATCCCGTGACCATCCTGAAGCATTTGACGCAATTTGATAAAAAAAAGTTCCAAGTGCTCTTTGCTGTATTTTATTGTGGAACGGAAAATCTGTTTTAAACTGTAAAAATTTTTATTGTCTCAGATTTAACCCTGATCAGCAATTTAATTTTATTGAACTGATTAGTTTAAGATCGTGTTCGTTTGCTGAATAAAATAGCGAATGATATACGAAAGCGTGGTACGGCATATGTTACTGGTCAATATCCAATCCTTGACGCTCGTTGCCCGCTCGTGCGACTTGATGTTAATCGGTATGTTGTAGAATCGTCAAATTTCTGAATATGAGTAAATTTTATCAGTTTAAAATTTGAATAATTAACAAATCTTTCATTTACCGAAAAAATGTTGGATCGTTTGTCAGATATTTCAATATCTCCATTTTAAAGAGCAAATATGGCATCTTCAGAAAATATACCGTGGATTTATCTGTGGATAATTATCTTGGCTATGCAAAATCGAATTGGCTTAAAAGTATCGTGTACTGTGATTCCTCGCAACTTATTCGGAAATTTTTTGTGTCCTTTAGGTTTTGGGCTCATGCAAATGAGCTGTTGAAGGCTGATGGAAAAAAGGTATGTTTCTTCTTTCAAGGCTTTGAAATTTTTTTAATTTCTGTTTTTTTTTGTTTAACTTGCTCTTCCATGAAATAACATCTTACCTATTTGGCGAATTTTTTTATGGGTGTTATTGTACTCTTTGTTATAAAGTTTTTAGATCCATGCAAGTTAATTTCAAGGTTGATATTTATTGAAATCAGTAGTTTAAAACGGAAAGCCTCACTTCTTATTTCCTTCCTCTATAGAATATTTCGTCGTGCAGCTAAAGAATTTTTTCTTCCACAGCTTTGTTAAGCGAGGCATTCCGCAAAAATGTATTTATCAATAAAGTAAATCTTTTTATAGCGGTCGCATTTTAACGCTTACATTTTGAACATGCTGTGCGTAATATATCTGCAACTGCACAATTATATTTCCTCTCTTCAACGAGCTCAGAAAGAAGTGGTTGTAAATGGGTGGAGGATTGATTTTTTTGTTGATAATGTGGATTTATCCTATCTGACACTTAGCAAATTATTTAAGGTTATTACTGCTTACGCTTATTAATGTTGATTTTTGGAGTGTTTTGTTGAGAATTAATTATTTTAAGCAGTAAGAAAATTTTGATGGCATTTTTTATACAGTGTTTGAAGAAATTTTTTTTGCAGGATTTTTTTATTTGGTTCGTTCAGTTGAAATTGAAAGACATCATATTGTGTCCTTATCTGGGTAATACTGTTTCATTCGATCAGTTCCAACAGTTATATCCAGACAGCAGGGTTCAGAGCGTCTTTAAACTTGCACATTTGAACATTCAGGCAGAAACTTTTCTTAACTTTAGAAAGTTTTCAGTTGTATGTAATCGTTCGAAAAATGAAGTGTGAGGTTTTTTACTTCGAACCTGCTGTGAATTACTGCAGGATCCACTGGAATGGTCGCATAATGTTTCCATGTTGGTTTCTGAGAAATATATTGGTGCCATGCGTCGTCAAATGATGTTTGCATTGTCGCGGATGAAAATAGCACCAGATTCATTCTTGGCCATATTGCAAAAAACATATGACACTGATATTGATACTAAGTCGTCTTTAGGTTTATCTTTCATTTTGGCTTTTCCACCTTGTAATTGGTCAATGAATTTTGTCATTAAGCAGAATGTCATTAAGCAGAAGCTCCCCATTATGGTGAAAATTGATAATAATCCGCCTATTATCAATTTAATATGGATTGTTTCCGATAAATTCAAATTTATTCGAAGAAATTGGGCATTTCACATTCTCAAGATTTGATGGTGAATGTGATTACTTGCAGATTATACACTGAAAATCCACGTTGGAGTTTGTCAAGCAGACCAGTGCATGAATGCTGTAAATCATATTTTCGTCAAAATTTTAGCATTCTCGCCAGCTGTAGAACCATTTGAGAAGCGACCACGGCTCGACGATACTTCCAATGAGTTTTGTAGTATTTACTTAATTAAGCGACGTATTTGGGAGGGTCGGAGACAAAAGCGACGTCAAATAATGCGAGAATGTCCTGCGCTCTTAAACGATTCAACAGCTCTGGAGGAAGCAGTAAGTTGTTTTCTAGCATCAATATCTCGATATTCAGTTTATCAATTTCAGTTCAATTTTCATTTTATTTATTATTTAGATGTCTACCGTAAAATCTTGATATTACCAAAAAATGATCATATTGGTGCTATCTTATCGTATTATTTTTCTTAATCTGTGACCATTAACAATTATCCACTTTGCATTTTTCTAAGTGTTAAACAAATTGTTTTCTGTTCTTATTAATTTTTTTTTATTTCTGGATGTCTTTTTGCACATATGTTTTTATAGTTTGTGAGTAATTTTTCAGGTTACTCAACAAATCAGTCAAACCAGTGAAGAAATATCACTTTGTTTCAAAACATGTGTGAAACGGAAGGCTGCAGAGTGCTGGCTTGAATTCGTTTTGATCAATGGATCAATGGTGGAATTTAATAGTCTCATTCATTTCTTGCAGCACTTTATCCCAGCTCACCTCAACAATCTTCTATTATTCCCTTTCGACACTCCTGTGGAATAATTTGCTTACTTTTATTTTCCCATAGCTTACTTGAAAACCATTTTAAAATGTGATTTTTTGCTATGGATTTTAAGATTTAAATGTGAGGAAAAACTAGGATGATAAAAATTATATATCTTTGTATAATTTTCGGAAGTTTTAATGCTAAAAAATCTACATATTGCCTCTATGATCTCTGCGTAAGTGCTTGTGCGTTCGGATTGTAAAGGATATGTTTATATTTAATATTTATTTTTCTGATAAATTTTCTATTAATGCCTGCTCCCTTTTTCACATTGTATATCGTAGTACGTTCCCAAAATATTTCGATTTTTAAGCTTTTTTCGTTCTCTATAAATTTTCACTAGAGAAACAACTTTATGACATTCTTTGTGAGTTGTGTTTATTCTTTTATGATGTGTTGAACATGGGAAGTAATTGAGCTAAAGCAAATCTAGGAGGTTCAAGATGGGCGCAGGAGGAATTTTTCCGGAAGAGAGCGTCAAAGCAGTAAATGAGATTATTGCTCGCTTGATCAAAGCCTACCGAGAGGGAAAAGACGTTGATTTAAACCGCCTTAAGAGCAAAGTTTCTTCAACCTATGCTTTAAGTCGTCAGCCAAAACTGATGGATATCATCGCTGCAGTGCCTGCGGAACATCGGGTATGCATTTGATCTAAATTTTTGTGAGAAATTATATGTGCTTGGATTCTCCAGTGTAATTACTTTCTAAAAATTCACGTTTTTTCACTATTGGTAAACTTCCAATTAGTTTTGGGATATTGGTAAACTTCTAATTAATTTCTAATTAGTTTCCAAATTTAATTGCAAATCATTAATAAGCAGATCTCAGGGAAGTGAAAAATAGATTTGCGGGAATATTGATAAGTATACTGAGGATGTAAAATTGGCAGTGATTGTGAACAAGAATCTCATTACAAACTTGATTCCCATCCTAAGTGGTTCAAATCTCTTTTTAATAAACTTCAATTCTTAACTTTTAATATTAACAAATGATTCGTGACCTTAGGCATTCTTCTGTGTTTTGTGTTCGAATCCTAATTTTCATTACTGATGTATAACCCACAGTACCGCTTTTCGGTTTGACAGATGCTTCATATATAGTTTACAGAATTGGCTGGTGCCGAAACTTAAAGCTAAGCCAATTCGGACAGCCAGTGGTATAGCTATTATCGCCGTTATGTGTAAACCTCATCGCTGTCCTCACATAAATTTCACAGGTAGTTTTAAAAAATTTTAATCCTGTAGTTTCACCATTTAAAAGTAGAGGAATTGTTTTGTGATTAAATATAATAAGATACAAGATATATGAAAAATCTATCTGAATGGAATGTAAATTGATTTTTTTACTGTAAATGAATCTTTCAAATGCCGAAGTAATTTTATTATTTAATATTTGGCTGAACTATATTTTTTTGCTATTTCAAACATTATATAATGGCATAAAAAAATTAAATCTAACTTGAGCTAAAAAATCATGCATCCATCCAAAGTTTTTCAGTAACATTTCCCATGAACCTTTAAACTTTTTTAAATACAGCTGATTTTGACGAATACATAGTGTATCAGCATACTTCTCTAGGAACATTGAGTGAATTAACTGACGTAAAGCAGCCTATTTGATTTATTTTAAAAATTTGCTAACGTTTCTTAATTAATTAGTTGCAACATTCAGGCAATATTTGTGTATACTGTCCTGGCGGACCAGACTCTGACTTTGAATATAGTACTCAATCTTACACGGGTTATGAGCCAACTTCAATGCGAGCAATCCGTGCGCGTTACAATCCTTTTCTGCAGACGAGAAGTCGAATAACACAACTTATGCAGCTTGGACATAATGTTGACAAAGTTTGTTCATTTTTAATTTAAATTTGTTCATTTTAATTCGTAGTTGACTTTTAGTGCAAAAAAATGATTGTAAGTAACTTGGAAAAAGTATTTAAATGAAGTTTTGGTGAATTTCGAAGTTAACACATAAATGAAGTTAAAGTTGAATAGTTGTACAGAAAATGGATTAACAGACACTGAATTCATTGTATGTATAATTCCGAGCTCTAAATTATTATCAGTCTGTTACTTTCATATCAAAATTCTCAATTGAGATTCGAACAAGTTTTCTAAATTTCGATTTTTTATATTTACTACGTAGTATAGGAAGATATCAAGAAGAAGCTCTATGGTTCAATGTTTTTTCAGGTGGAATTCATAGTAATGGGCGGTACTTTCATGTCACTACCAGATGATTATCGCGATTATTTTATTCGGAATCTTCATGACGCATTGACTAGTCATACTAGTAGCAATGTATCTGAGGTTTTTATTTTATTTTTTAATACCATTGATGGGTATTATATTCATTTAAATTTTCATTTGAGAGCTATCATAATATGAAGATAATCGCATTGCAGTTTTACTTTAAATGAAGTTGACATAATCATACATGTATATATATATATATATTTGAAACGACAGGCGGTTGCATTCAGTGAACGAAGCCGAGTGAAATGTATTGGAATAACGATTGAAACTAGACCTGATTATTGTTTGCCGAAACATTTGGATGAAATGTTAAGCTATGGCTGTACAAGGCTGGAAATTGGTGTTCAATCAGTATACGAAGATGTTGCTAGGGACACGAATAGAGGCCATACTGTTTGTTTTGTTTATTAAGTTTATTTCATATCACTCGCAAAATTTATCCTCATAAAATAATTTACAAAAACTAAGATTTGAAAATTCAAAATTATAAGGATACTAAGCATTTTGATAGCATGCTTTTAACCGATTGTGCTGAACTTTGTCTGTATTTATGCAACGAGGTGAAAAAGAATTGGTAAGGGTTGCAATGAAAAATAGAATCAATTCTTTTACTCAAAAGTGATACCATTTGCATAACCTGAATCCATGCTCTTAAAAGAAAGTGGAAACTTATTCAGAATTTAATATCAAGCTAAATGTGTTCGTTTTTATTCATTTTTTTAGCCTAAATCGATTTCTGATTATCAATAAAAATATTTTTGATGGTATTTATGATCCATAATCATTTGACATACAAATCTGTGCTACAGAAATTGTGGATTCGGTTTAAAAGGGTCCAGTATTAAAAAGTGGAACTCTCTTTCATAATAACTGATTAAAATGATCACAAATAAAAAAATAAAATTTATAATTAATCATTGCAGGTGAAAGCAGCAGGTTTATAATTAATCATTGCAGGTGAAAGCAGCATGTGAATGTTTTGAAATAGCAAAAGATACGGGTTACAAAGTGGTAATACATATGATGCCCAATCTCCCTAATGTTGGAATTGAACGAGACATGGAACAGTTTATTGAGCTTTTTGAAAATCCAGAATTTCGACCAGATGGTCTTAAAATATATCCAACATTAGTCATTCGCGGCACGGGCTTGTATGAACTATGGAGAACGGGTCGTTATAAAAGTTATCCGCCAGAGGTTCTAATGCTACAGCAATTCTTAAGTTTAATCTAAGTACTGGGTTGTCGTTATTCTTTTCGCACTCTTTTTAACGTTGTCGTACAAAATGCTGGCCATCCAATGGCTGAGGGCATTAGCTCATTTAATACATTACATCTAATAAGGCTTACTTAAAACTTGTTAATGTTAAATTCTAGATCTATATTTTCGTTATGTTTCTATACTTTATCATTTTCACACAAGATTCTCCGTTAAACTTCTTCAGAAGACCATAAATATGCTGCTAATTGCGAGTTTTATTAAAATTCAGATGATTTCAAAAGTTTTCCTCAAGTTGACTTTCATATGTTTGACATTTTTGAAGGTTTTGGTGGATTTAACGGCCAGGATTCTGGCTCTGATTCCTCCATGGACTCGTGTTTATCGTGTACAACGTGATATACCAATGCCGCTTGTAACTAGTGGAGTGCAATATGGAAATCTTCGTGAACACGCTCTTGCACGTATGAAACAGCTTGGTACTTCATGTCGGGATGTTAGAACACGTGAAGTTGGAATTCAGGTATACTTTTAGAATTCTTAATTATTATTTAAATTATTAATTTTTTAAGTTAGAATAATGGGTCACCTACGAGCAAAAATCAGATCATAGATCTAGCGTGTTCCTAAAATTAGTTTACTGAGTGAATTAGATAACTCTTTTATTGGGAAATGAGTGAAATGCATCATTCTACGTTCTTCATTTGCTGGGAGATAAATTCGCTATTGTTTTCTTTCCTACCGTCTTGTGTGTTTTTTGAGCTCTCTTTTCAAAAATTCAGTTTTTGAAAATAATTCCGGTGGGAATTACTTATTTCTATTTTTCTTAAATATAAATTTGCAGTTTAGGAATTAGATCACTGTGTTAGAATTTCAGGAAATACATAACAAAATCCGTCCTTACCAGATTGAGCTTATTCGAAGGGACTATGTCGCTAATGGTGGATGGGAAACGTTTCTTTCTTACGAGGATCCAGAACAGGTTTCTTTAGAAATTCGTGACAAATTAATCAAACATTCATTCCAGCAGTTATAAAGTTGGTTCATTTTCTGTAAGTAACTATTTATTTCTGCATATTATTCTGTCAAAAAATCTCTTCTTTCAGGATATTTTGGTTGGGTTGTTAAGATTGCGAAAGTGTGCCGACAAAGTTTATCGGTTGGAACTGAAGGTCTGTTTGCGATTCTTTACAAAAAGTTAAATATTAGAATCGAATAACAATAATTTCTGTATTCATCAATTCAATCCGAAATTTTTTTATTTACAAGAGCGAATTTTAGCTTTTCTGAAATCTGATATTGTCCAATTTATTATTTTGCTTTATGCCGCAGAAGTATCATAGTATTTTATTTATATATCGTATTGGTGCAAAGACGAGGCATTCATCAAAAACACTGATGACAATCTAAATTAATTAGTTAATTAGAATTTAATTGCTACGAGTCTATTTATTTATTTACTCAAGGTCACTCTATATTTGAAAATCAATCTTTAATAGTTTTCAAGGGTATCTTTTTTTTGTTTCTTGCTTTTTGAATATTTGATCATCTAGTTTGAAACAAAATTTGAGCTGTGTAAATATTGGAAATGAGGAATTTGGAAAATAAACTCTAGCGTAATCTATTATATTGTAGAGAGGTTTCGAATGTGAGGAAATTTTTGAGAAAAGATCTAATGAAGTATTTAATGTCTATATATTGTGGATCAGATTGTGGACAGGAGAAATTGACCTCTAAGTTACAAATACAGGAGCTAAGAAAAAATTTTAAACAGTTCTCAATGGTGGAAACTTTGACGCAGCTTGGGATTTAGGAACTAAAAAACAAAGAAATATTTGTAAGAATCAAAGAAATCAAATTTATGTAAGAATCAAATTTTCTTAAAAGATCTGGAAGACATCCGTGTTCGATGGAGAGATAAAGGAGAAGAATTGGTGAATAAGAAAGAAAACGGTAATTACAATTTAAATATAAGAAGGACATAAGCTCACTAAAGTTTTTTTTCGCCGAGATAGGGGATTTTTTCGTTGCATGGTTTGGTTAGCTTAGAGAATTTTAGGTAGCAATTGTTAATTAACTATCTCCCTCATCTTCCAGTCTCTATTTCTTTACTTGCAACATTCATGGAAATTTTTGAGGTTAATTTGTTTTATTTTTGAAAATTGTTAGATTTATACGATTCTATTAGTTCTTCACTATCATTATTCTATTATTCTGTATTCCCTGCCTCTTCTGTTGATAGTGCAGCTGCAAACTGAAAAAACGCTGCACATCATTTTATGGAAGAGTAACCGTTTAAATGTATTTTAATCTATTTTAATCTTTTTCAGAGAAAAGTTTGAAGATGTTTGCTCAATTTGTTTCTTATCTGTTTTAGAGTTTGTATGGTATATGTCAGATCGTTCTTGGTAGTTATTAATCGTCCTCGTTTTCGAGTATGAGATGTCCCATGACATTTCATACGTGGGATCACGTTTTGTGAAAGACACGTGATTTACAATTTATGTATAAATTGTTTAGGATAGTAATTTTTTATTTATATGGATTTAAGATTTCAGGAGAATTCACCGGATTCATTAAGATTTCAACATTGCGTTTTTGTACTTGAATAAGTGTTTAGTTTTGAATTATAACTCTTCATAATTGAATGAGCTGTATTTGCATTGTTTCCATTATTTTAATTCTAAATAAATCTGAAAATTATTTGGTAGCTAACAATCTTTTAATAATGAATCAGTTTCAGGGTGGAGTATCAATCGTTCGTGAGCTGCATGTTTATGGTTCGGTAGTGCCAGTATCGGCTCGAGATCCATCCAAATTCCAGCATCAAGGATTCGGACAACTATTGATGGAAGAAGCAGAACGGATCTCCAAAAATGAACATTGTAGCAATAAATTAGCAGTTATTTCTGGTGTAGGTACTAGGAATTATTATCGGTTAGTTTTTTTCGACTATATTTCCGGAATGTTTTTTTATTTTTATTTTTTAAAATATTTAAAATTTTCTAGACTAGTGAAAGTGCTTATTGCAAGGAATATTAATGATGAATCATTGTTCTGTACTAAACTGAAATCGTTTCAGCTGTTGAACAATAGATTAGTAAAGGGAGGGAATATATTTCAGAAAGTGAAAGAAAATTTAATTTGCTTGATATGAGGAATCACAAAAGCTCAGGGAGAGATTAGGTACAGTTAATTACAGGAAAAATTTAATTTTCTATTATACAATGATTTTGTATTTTCCTGATAAAGAAATTAACTGTACCTAATGCAGTTTTACCGTTTCTTTGAAATTTAATGAGTTCGAAAATCTGAACTATTCTTTTGTTAATCAGTCAATTTTTTTTCTTATTTTTAAAATCCAAGCATTAACAATCTAGAAATCTCACATTTTATGTGTCCAGAGAACTTAGACAGAGATAGTTTGTCGTTTCTTCCACTTCCATTAAAAATTGTATTGATAGTTTCCAGATGAAAAAAAAAAGCTAAAAGTCAGAAGATAAAAGTGTAAATTTTTCTTCAAAAAAAAATTGTGAATTTGGTTCCCATCAGTTCAGATTTTGACATTACTCTTTCTGATATATTTCTGACATATCAGAAAGAACAATGTCAAAATTTGGAGGTTGGAATAGAAGTTGGAATAGAACTGCTGATATGGGAGAATAAATGGGGAAAGATACCTGAAGGATTTTCAAAGCTTTGTGGAGATTATGTACTGTTAAACTTGTTTCCCCGCAAATCCTTTCAGCTGTCTCGAAAAATAAAGGAAGTTTTTCAAAGTTTCATTTATTATATCACGTGTTTTTATTACTACCCTCACTACGCTCCAAAGTTTAAACTATTTTTTTAAGAAGCCTGCAAAGAAGATATGAATGGCTTTCATTTATGAATCCAATTTTTGAAACTGTACTTCGTCTTAAGTACTGGAACGGCGGACATAAATTCTCGAGGATCTCATTTCCAAAAATGATGAATGTTTGTTACCTAGCTAAAAAATCTTATAACGAAATTTAATACTATAATTTTTGTTTAATTAGCTTGTTATTCAATTGGATAATTTGCTTCATCAGGCACATTTAGTTATTATTTGCTAGTACGGTTTTATAATTTTCATTGTGGTGGTAATCAGCTCGCTGATGGGATTAGAGTTTTAATGCTTTTTGCTCTGTTCCAAACACAAAATTTGATAGCCACTACGACATTTTTGGCATCTTTATTATAACCCCTACCATTAATTCCTGAATAGCTCGAATTTTTAACCCAAAAATTTCTGACAACCATCAGTACCCTTCAGGAATGACATGTTATTGAGCTAGATAATTTGCTTTGTCAAGCTCATTTAGTTATTATTTGTTTGTAAAAATTCTCCAGTTATGATGTTAGATTTTTCGGAAGGGAATTTTGAACCTGAAATATATCCATTTATCCAAACATGAAAAATATGAAATATATCCAAACATTCACAGCAATGAAAAACATTATTTTTTAATAAGGATTCACCATATTTTAATTCTTATTTAGCATCAGAGTTTGACAGTTGTGCCGTATTGTTCTTTCCCAGACTTCTTTTGGGAGAAAGTTATAACATCTTGCTTTCAGGAAAATGGGATACGAATTGGATGGTCCTTATATGTCGAAATCGTTGTAATTTCCATTTTTCACACCTTTGATCTAAATGTCCTAAATATCACTAGTATGGTTTTACAATTTTCAATGTGGTGATAATCTTCCGAAGTTTTTTTCAAACTTTTGAAGGAATTACGATTCTTGCTCTAAATATGTACTAATATGTTTTGTTATTTTAAGAAGTAATTTGATTTTATGTTGCTGCTTTGTTATTGTTTTGGGTGCTAAAAGGTACTCAGGATTCGATGGATCTTGTTGCTGAAGTTCACCAGTTGTATATTATAATATCTCGCCGCTCAAGTTCGATTTATTATCTAGTGGTAAGGGGTTCTGGAGTTTGAAAATCAAGCACTGGGAAGCTCAAGATCGCTGATTCGAGTATCAGAAGGCTTAGTTTTTTATGAGGTTCAAGCTGATAGAATACAAAAGAAGGCGTAACTTGAGCGGGGAATAATATTTGAAGTACCAGTTCTCTTACTGATTCATACATGCATAAAGTTGGCACCATACTGGAAGTGTAAAAGCCTTGGAATCCTTGGAATCCAAATATAAAATATTTGGAATTGAGAAGTAAGTTTCTATACAGTTAACTAAAAAGATAATCCATTCAACACGACAGTAACATGACATTCGACTCAGCGGAACCCATATCAGTGAAGAAATTGTGTAGCTGAAGTGTATTTATAACTTCCTTTTTTTCTAAAAGTTTGTAATTCTCTAAGCCTCAAAATTCATATAAATTTTTCTAGCAAAAGTCATATAAGTGCTTCCTGCCACTGGTTTTGAGTACCAATTTATTACTGTTGGAAAAGCGCTAGTTCACATCATTATTGGAATGCAATAGTCTAAAATTGATTCCAAGAATTGCTTCTTTTGTAAAACTTTAATTCGAAGTCCTCTTTTTAATGAGTTCGAATTGAAAGATAAATATGGATTTAAGGTAATAAATTATGTCCAATAGATGAAGCTACAAATGCTACACTTCCTTGCATCATAATATGTGATACATGGATGAGAAGGATCAAATCAAATTACGAAAAGCTTCCCATACTTCAAGAAGCGCATGATTAATTTAGAAATCCATTGAAAGTTTGCGAACTTGCCGTTTGGAAAATATTTGAAAGAAAATTTGGGTATAGTTAATGCTTGAACTTGGATAGAATTTAACGTTTGTAATGAAGAATTAAAAGACTGTGAACATTTCTATCACGAATGAACTTCGTAAGGTTGAGCGTAACATATCTAAAAATGAAATATTCAGCATGAATGAAATACTCTGATTTTGAGAACCACATTTAGTTAAACTGAAGAGTTCAAATAGTATCGCGAAAAATTACGATCAATACAGGAGAAATTTATTGATAAATATAACATAAAAACACAGGAAGTCTTGCTCTCAATACACCCATAAATTTGTTTTTAATTTTGCCATTGCACTTCTGCAGCCTGAAAACGCTAATCCTTATCACGTTAATTTGTTCCCACTTAACCTCACTGTAATTCCCCGCGACAATGTCGTAACCACAACTAATAAAGGAATTGTAACAATGATTTTATATATTTGTCACAGCTTCTTTTATCCTATTATTTTCTTTTTCTGCGCCCAATTTCCATCACTTAATTTGCTTAACATTTGCATTGATTGCATTCTTCCTAATTTTTCCTTAATCCATTTATTGTTTGCATTCATTTTTAGGCTTTTTTTTAAATGTAAACGATATCAACAACAAAATACGACAATTCATCATTTATAAAGAAGACTTGCTCTCGAATAATTTATTCCAATAGACGATTTCAGTTCCATCATACTATGCGTCCAATTATTTTGTGCAATCTTTTTATGGTACTATGGTATTCATCCATGTCTTGTTTCTCAATCTTGTATTGCTAAAATTGCGAAAAAGAAATGGATAAAAAGAAGAATAGCTGTATACAGCGTATGAACAGATATCTGGCCAGATTTGGATCCGAAATTGCTAAAATTGTACTGAACCGTACTTTCTTCGAAATTCTCAGAATTTGATAGGTATGATAATAAAGCACGTTTACATATTCTAGTTAAATCAGGTAGAGGTGATATTAATCATATCTTTCAGAAAATTATTTATTGGTTATTCAAAGCATAGTTCAGAATTCGAATGCTTTTAAGAAAAATATTATCGAATTGTTACAATCATATGCGAATTAATGGTAAAAGAAGAAATTGGCTAATTTTGATGAACTGTGATAACAGTAAAAAGAAATACAAATGTTTGCAATTAAAAAAAATTTATTTTTTTATATAGTAATGTAGTGATTTTGAAATTTCTTAAATTCAAGCTAAGAATTTTTGTATTTCTGTATAAATGGTAATAGTAACGGTACTTCATTTCTACCCTGTGTATTTAATCAGTATGATCTTTCATAAAATTACAAATGCTATAATGAAATCAATAGTAATTCAAGCTAAAATACACTAGATGGTAAAAATAGTTTAATCATTAAAAAAATGTTCAAACTATCACATTATTGCTGCTTTGCCAGTGTGAAAATAGTCTTTAATATGCTTCACAATCGCTGAGAAAGGTATGGAAGAAAAGCTCTCGATACTATTTGTACATAAAAGTACAGTGAAGTAGCAGTAGCAAAAATTGAGATATAATATAATGTGAGTGCACTGAACGATATAACATTGATGTAACCATTTTATAGACATATCACTTGGTACGCTAATGTTTTCCTGATAAATTGATGTTGTGTATATTGCCCAATCGATCTCAGATAATACGCTGATTACGAAAAAAATTGTTGAAGTTACACAAATGCAATTCAAAATATAGTCAACAAGCTCATAGAAATGATATAATAGTAAAATTGAGGAGCACTTCAAAGGTTAAGATTCAGTTTCTTACAACTGAAGATTTTATATAACTTCTAAAACAAATTTAGAAATTCCTAAAATTTCCACTCACCAGAATTAATTTAGAAAGACTGCAGTTATAAAATATTTCAGATAAGAACAGCGGTTTCATAAGCATGATTAAACTGTTGAGTAGAAATATATGACTGTCTTATAATAGAACAGCATTTTACGTTAACTTTTTACCATCCAGTAGCTACAGCAGCAAATCCTCCAAAAAATTACTGTCCGTTAGACTTTGGAATTTCCATCTGGCTGATAATATCGTACATTGATGCGCGATTCTTCGATATGTCAACACGACTTAGGAGTGTTGAAATTTGTCGTTGAAAATCATCATCTTCCTGCTGGTTCAATGCAATACGCTGCAAATTTAGAAATTTTCATAATAGTTTTTGTCGATTCAGATACTCTAAAAGTCCCAGTTCTGCATAATCACTTCAATTTCAGTTGAGATAAAGCTGAAAATGATTGAAGAAACGAAGAAAAATAAGCAATTTCAATATATTCTAGATATTTTAAACAGTATTAGTAGCATCTTTCAAGAATGAAATTCGTCACAACATTCTATTATTTTATCCTAGAGTTCGAAAAAGAATTGCAGACTGAAATGAAAAATGAATATTTAAATGTGTACATAAATTACAACTGCAACTTTTCAAAGGAAAAGATAATATGGTAAAAACAGAGATGCATGAGCCTGCTTGAAGAAATTAAATACCTCAATTTAGAAATTTATTTACTTGACCCATCCGCTTTATAGAGTGTCTAGGTTTTTTAAAGCAATTAAATAGCTAAATCTTCTGACGTTCACAATATGTAATTTAGAAGATATCTATCAGACAGAAAATTCAAACACTTATTTTAAATTTTCTATATTTAGTATGAATTTTGAAGTAAAAAAGGAAAAAAGGATTAGAAGAATTTTCTGAAAAATATAACTCGATAAAATAGCATCTTAACGGAAAAACGTTTCCAATAAACCGATTTATGAAGCAACGGAATAAAAAATCTTTCGCAGATGTAATCTTTCTAAATACACTAGATGGGCTTTTAACAATACTGAAATAGAACAAATACATCTCAAAAAATATTATTTTTCCCGACTGAAAATGAATGAATACAGTGAATGGAAGAAATATTCTATCGCATAAGCAATCATTGATCTATTAAATCCCCGAAAAAGGCTTTTTTTTCACAAATATTTCCCAGATATTCTAATAGTGAAATGATCAGTGAAACTGAAGATTAATCTAAGATTTTGATTTGTAATAAAATATTTAGGTAATGTATTTTAATGCATCTGAAGCACATAAGATTACCAGCAGAAGTCTTAAAAATGGATTAAAAAATTAAAATAACCTAAAAAAATACAAAAAATCTTATGTCTTATCAAGATCATTTGGAAGAGTTCATGAGCCGCTATGAATTATAATCACTAAAGACCATGACATCAATGTTATCAATCAAGACAACTTGCAAAGCTTCAAAGCCTTAAAAACACAGCAACTATTAAAAATTTAAAAATTTCTGAAATCATCTATAAATTTCCTCACTATTATCATTTCGATCTAATATATCAGAATATTAATTAAATCTGACAGAGAAACAAGATACATATTAATTCCTAAGATGAAGCAAGCAGTATTTCAAAAACTATAACCATAAAAATGAACTATCTTGAGGGATTGTGTGAAAAGTTCAAATAAAGGTCTCTGTTCAAATAATATACTGAATATAAAAATGAGTGCACAATGACAAACAGTAAGATTAATAAAATCTTACTTATTTCACTAAAATAATATCAAGGTTAAAAGCTTACTGGTTGCTAATTTTCCAAATCTGCTATATTTAATTAAAGATTAATTTAATCATTTAGCATAGAATCAGGATATTCAGGTGACAGATCGAATATCACTATTGTTTCTTTCGTTAAAAAAGGATTACCAACAAAGTGTAATTAATTAAGTTTCGTTCTCATTATCCAAAAGAGTATACAATCATCCAAAAACGGTCCCACTCAATACAATTTATATTTCGAAGCTACGCGAACATTAGGAAAAAATAGTTTTAGTAAAAGTTTTATTCGAAAAAGAACTGTCAAATAAAGGCTAAAGAAAGGAATTTACTGAAAATTCAAAATCTTTTCACATCAATTTCATAAGAAATTACAATGGATTGGATGAGAATTTTACAAAATTTTCTGAGTGCTATAATCCATTTATATGTAATTTTCAAATACATTCATTTCCAGTGATTCTCTAGAAATAATTTAAAAGAAAAAAAGATATCCTAACTAAACGATCCATGTTCTTTCTATTTTTACCTTTTCTTTTATTTTTCTACGTTGCCTACATTAATAGAGTGGATTTATTTGTTGGAAGGCCAATAACTTTCAGTTTCGTTTATAAATTTACGTATACCGATGAAAGAGAGTCATTAGTCTTCCAACAAATAAATACATCATGAGTTGATATTTTTGAATGCTACACTAATTCAAATTAATATAGGAATAATCTGTACAATATGAACAATTATTGGAAGATTTGATGGATGATGCATAACTGCACAACACTGTTGTATTTTGATGATGATTTTCAATTAAAATAAAGATGTAATGTTGAGGAATAGTATTACTGATTTGCTAGACAAAAAGATCAAACTTTAATCGCAAAATTTCTTACTTTATAGTTGTACTATAACCGTGAAATTTGGCAAGGGAAAGAAATATTAGAAAGAAAATATACCCTGGCAAATATACTCGCACTACGGAATCAATATAATAAAAGTGGGGATTTAATTGAATTATATGAATTTAATTCTGTAGATCATCAACACAAATAGTTCTAACACTCTAGCACACCTCTTTCAAAATTTATATTTATATCCTAAAGAAAACTTTCGTTCCTTTTTACTATTTAGATTTTTTTTTAATCGAAATAAATAATCATACTTCATGAAAAGAACGACGTCTTTTCTCGCGTTGTTCTCTTTGATGTTTCAAAGTATTCATCAGTTTTTCATTGTGTATTTTGATCCTTTCCTCAACTTTATCCATGTAATGATTCAAATGATCCAATTGTGAATCCAATCTTCGGATCTCTACAAAAACAAAAAAAAATTTTACCAATTAAAAAGAAAGAAAAGTAAAACAAAAAATTCGATTTATAAGAAACGATTGTAAAACAATCCATAAAAATGTAAAGTGAAATTATAATCGTTTAATTCAACAAAAAGAAAGAAAATAGTGATAACATAACTTTCTTCACGAATAAAGGCAAATAACAGTGCAAAAGAAACAGAAATGCCATAATTTTTTTCTATTTGAAATATATGTAAATTATCAAAAAGAATTTTAAGTTATTTTATTTAAAAGATTCTCTCAAAAATTGAATAATGATTTTAATTTTGCTTGGAAGATAAATGTTAATCGACTAAATAAATATTCTCAACGTTCTAAATTCAAAAATATTTTTGCTAATATATACCTTCATTCCCATCATCTTCGGGTGTAACTTCGTTAAGCACTTCCAGACCACGTTGTAGCACAGCAAGCGAACTATTTTTATTGTTTTCATTCGTTTCTGGTATAGCACCATTTGTTGTTCCCTAAAATATTTCAATATTTTAGAATTAGAATATTAGATAATTAGTTTCAAACAATGATTGCAAATTTTCACATTTAAGTTGCAAATACTGAATCTATTAAGTTGAAAATTTGGAACCATTTTTAAGCTAATTAATTTAGATAGAATCTGAAGATATTTGCAAAATATCCAAATAACTGAAGGTAGTATAGCCGAAGATATCTAAAAGAGCTGAAGAGCTGTGCTTGAGATGTGTTTATTGTGGCAATAAATGTATTTTGGTATTTTGGTTTTGAAACGGATATAACATAAAAGAAAATATTTGCCATAATCCGTTCACAATTATCATAGATTGTTTAAAATCTAAGCTAGATGATATGAGGAAGTGGTTCAATTTTTTTTTCGCGAAATACGCAAGAAACAAAGTTTGGTAATAAAATAGAGAGGTATTTGAACCAGTCGTTCATACACTTGATCATAGTGCAGGTTTTTATAAAAATGATCAAGGAATAACAAACATGATACATCATAACGGGGAATAAATCTAACTTGTAATTCAATAAATTATTAGCAACTATTCAAAATTATTAGTAACTTTTTTTTTACATTCATATTTAAATGCTATCATCAAAGTGTAACATTAGTATTTTTTGAAATTATCGAAGAATGACCATACCTGTTGTTGAATTTGAGAAAGCGGTCTATTCCTCATTCGAACAACGGTTGCGCTCTCTTCAGCTTTCATTGATGGTAAGGATGATTTAATGATTTCATCATTGCTCCATTTATTTTTATCTTCAGTTGCTTGGCTTTGACAATGTAACAATAGCTGTTGTGGTTGTCGTTGCTGACCATTACTGGAGGTGGATGAGGTGGACGATAATGTTGGTGATAATATCACACTCTGATCATTATTGTCATCACTAATTATACAGTTTCTTTTATCACCGTTCATTTAGAAAAATATCTACGCTGTTGTTGCTATTGCTGCTTCAATTGATGCCGTCACTTCTTATACGACAATAATTTATTTTCTGCAAACAAATCCATTCTCTACATTTTTTTTTCTCAATGACAGTGATAAAACGTCAGAAATAATAACGTAGAAAATCCGACATTACCAACAAATCACAGAAGACAGCACTTTTCTAATTGATTCAGACGAAGAGCGCTTAGAAATGATATGAGCAATCAATAATACATGATCAGTGATATAATTTTAGACTGCTCAATGAATGACATACGGATGCGGAGAGACAATTGAAGAAGATGTATCAGTAAAAAAGAGGAAGAGATAGGTGAGAGCTTTTTTTATTTCATCCCATTCCATTCTATTTCTTTCATTCATAGATACCGGAAAGACTGACCTGTGTTGCTGAACTATTCCCTGCAACTTATTGATGTATTGATGTATAAAAGTTGACCTATATAATATCGAACGATATTTCTTCGGCTTTTATTTCGTCTCATAATAGGTATGCGCTCATCTCTTTCTTTCAAATAACAACAATTCATTTCGATGTGAAATACAGCTTGTTGAAAAAAAAATCAAAAAAGAAATAAAAATTGTTTGGGGCGGAAAGAATGACATGAAGTGACTGGAAGATATATCAACCATATAAGGCAATTCTCATCAAAAAAGAAGTTACTCCGCGCTTCATCCAAAATTATTTTCGTTGTAATGTTTCTTCTCCTTTCGGATGCATGAATAGAATGAATTGAACTTGACAGGCGGTATTTGTGATATGGGTAAAAACCAAATAATTATTATAACAATGAATAAATCGATAGTTTTTATAAATTTTAAAGAGAAACATTTATAGAAGAGAAGTTAAATGTGATGCAAGAAGCGATATCATGATATTATGCTACTCCACTGATAATTACCTTTCTTATATGAAAAGCATGAAAAGAAATGCAATAATTAAATTATATATACTATGTGTCTTGTACAACTATTCGACCTTGTCGCCGATGACAATTGGAGTATATGATGAAACATGTCATGCATTTAAATATCAGCATTCCTTACATCATCTTAACCTCAAATATAGCTTCCAACCATTTTTGGTATTTCTCAGAGAACATATAAGAAGCACAAAGAATGAAGTACCAATCACATTCAAGCGTGCAGTAATCAATTTATTAAAAAAGTGCACTGTAAATGGATATGGAAATTTTAGCCTATTTTCCAACACAACAATCAATGAGTATAATAACCTCTTATCATGGCTTTCTTATCATGACTTTTATTATTATTATTACTCTGTTAGCAATCATATTAACCAAAATAACACTTTTGAGTAAGGCACTGTAAATAAACAAACATGCATATGTGAGATGAATGAGTGGTTGGTAGGTGGGTGGGTGGGTAGATAGAGGGATGACGAATTTACCACTTCAACAAAAATTAAACAGAAGAGCTGCTAGTCAGTGTAAAAGTATATGGGCAATGACAATTATTCACACTATTTCTCACCAACAACTGCTTTCCTTTGTGTATATGTATATGAATATGTGCATGTGTATGTATGCATGTGTGCATGGGTGTGTATGTGTGTGTGTGTGTGTGTGTGTGTGTTTGGTTGATTAACAGATAGGTAAGTGTGATGCTATCAAATGGAATTTTTTTGTGATCTTATCAAATGGAATAAGAGTATTCTAATCAATGTCCATTTGTTTCAGTTAACAAATTTAGTGCTTCTTAAGACGAATTATTTGAACTTTACTAACATTTCTTAAAAAAGTGATTTCTTCATCTCTAATTTAAAATAGAAATCAATGGCTGATAGGATAGAAATGGGCAAAGTATTAATTGATCATTATTGATTGATACTTGATCATTATTAGTTATTACTTGATCATCATTAACCGTTATTTGCTTATTATTAATCACTGCTTGACAACGGCTGAAAACTGAATAAATGAATTCATTCATTAATTCACTTCCGATATAACACCCTGTTTATTCCTTTGCCCTTCTCTGATAACATTTGGAAAACCTGTTGGAAAGGAAATGGAAAAATATCATATTTACTTTCTAATCTTTTCAATCGGAAAAAGTGTCTGAAACAGGAAAGGCATAAAGTGTTTCGTTTCAGTCATAGCATTTCATAATAGCTATGCTAATTGTATTATCGCACACCTAAATGGAAATGAGCTTTGGTACCCCAAATAAAATAATATTCGCTCTGATGGATTTACAAGTTTCTTGTCGATTACGCTTTAAGATATTTCAATTTTCCCTCTCAGAATTAGAAAATCCAAATTCTAATAGAAAAAATCATTGAAATTTTTTGTAAAAACCAATTGAAAATATTTATAGGATGGCAAACAAGAAAAGTATTGGTTGGAAGTGATTGAAGAAGTCAGCAATAAAATATCCTCTGAAGACGAAAATACTGCAAAGTAGGACTACTAAAGCTAAATGCAAGCAAATAAACTATTTTTTTTCAATTGAAGCAGCACAATTTATTCACATTTCCGAGAATGTAATTCAGAAAGTTATTTAAGTTTGTAAAAAAAATTGCAAGTTTAATTATCAAAAAAGTTGAAATTTAATTTTTTATTCAACCTTTCAGATATGATATTCATAGATAAGAAAAGAAGCATTCTGACAGCTAATTGGTTTTTAAGCATTGTTTTATTTTCATTTTAAACACTTGCATATGCATATTTTTTGAATCAAACATATAATAAGTATGTATTTTAAAATTAAGAATTGAATGGTTTTCTAAATAACACTTTTCAAATAGTACTTTTGCACGAATATTGCAATTATTTCCTACAAGGTTGCACTAACCTTCAGCAATAGTCACTTTATCATCATATCGCCTTCCGACAATCATCAACATATTTTCTGTGAATTGTCGGGAAAGCGAGCTTTGGTGTTGAGAAGATCGTAATAGTATCCATCCAGAATTATGTATTTTCATCATAAAAGCAGCTCAGCGATAACAATTAAACTATCAAAAAAAGCCCATAATTTAATGCCACAATGAATACAAAACGGTCACTCACATAATGATCGCGATCGCGATATGCTTTAAACCATATTATATTATGTACTTATTTCATATTTATTTATTTCTAATTATCAGTTAACTGATAATTTATACTGTCTTCAGATAGAATCATAAACCTACTAATTGTTGCAGATAGTAATTATGTCATGGAGAGGAGAAGGAAGATCAATGAGATTGAATGATAAGTTAAAATCGATTCTCTGGAGCATTTATTTTTTACCGATTCCAAAAAAAACTTTTCTAAAATTCTCAGAAGCAATACCGGAATTCATAATAGTCCTATAAATTGTGTTCGTAGTATTAAATTTATTATTATCCGCTTTTTTTTTACAAATAAAAGAGGTAGAAATGTTTGCAATCGATCGAAAAATCTATTTCATTGAAAAAATGAGGATGGAAAATGTGAAAACATTATTGGAATTAAATAATACTAAATTCAAAATAAACTAATGAATCTGCCATTTATTGTAAAGACAAATTCAAACTGGATAATTTACAATAAAAAACGACGAAAATTTAAAATTATCATATAGCTAGGGTTCATTGACAGTTCTCATCAAAATAAGGTCATCATATTCATATCCTATTATCCTCATGATATCCCTACCATTAGACTGTTGTTGCTATGCTACGGAAGAATGGAATTTTTTGATGTTGAAATCGTTGAAATGGAAAGAAAGGAGTTTTTGATATGGAAGGACGAAGAAATGTTTGCTGTACGATGAACAGATGCTACTGTTACTGCTGTTGGCAGTCGATCGAAAACTATACAAAAAAAATCAGCAAAGGAAAGAAAGATTATAACAGTAAATCTGTTTTGTACTGATTTCCATTTCTTTTTTACTTCCTAAGTAAATAAACCAAATGAACCCAATTTGTAAAATAAATTGAGGAAATTGTGGAGATTACGGAAGTAAAATTAATGAAATAATCAATACAAATTTGATTTTTCTATTGTCATAATGTAATAAAATTACATGATTAGTAAAAAATATTGGCATAGAGTTGTTTGAATGAATCATTCCAATAAAACTTTCGGACAGATATCCAAATCTAAGAAAAGAATAGCATAAAGTGAAAGGGAAATTTGTTCCTTATCTAAATAGTAAATAGGTTTAATCTTATTGAATTTGAAAATGGTTATATGTTGAAGATGTTTACATTATCTGTCATCTGTCTTCACCACAACAACAATGCTCGTTTTGTATATTTTGAAATAATTTTCAAATTTAGTATTTGAATAGTGCAAAAATTAACATATCGTTTCAGCGTGATAATATTAGTCAAAGAAAATCATTCTCTTTTCAAAAAATTTGAAATGTTTCCGCCAAAGCTCTTTATCAGAAGTAAATATGTTAATGTGTTTTACACATCAGACGAGAGCTTTCGGAAATTCTTTAAAATTTGTTTTAAACCAACATTTATGATTCAAAAAATTAGTATGAAAAAAGGATCTTCGCTAAAATATCAAATTGCCAATACATCATTGGATGATGTCAGGATCGAAATCATTTTTGCATTATCTTTTTACACCACCAATTATGTATCTTCTAAATATAAGAAGACTTGATAGAAAAGACTTTAGTATTATCAAAAGTAAACAATTACCAAATGCCTGAATGTGTATTTCTATGAATGTACCGTAATTTCTATGAATGTTCTAATCAATTAGCTACTTTTGCAACAACTTTAGAAATTATCTTAATTAAACATTTGTTATGTCTCTTCGTTATAAAATTTTACATCGTTTTTTCTTCTACATCTTTTTTCTCCTTTTAAAAATTAAATTTTTATTTTTAAATAAATTGAAAAGGAATAGAACTGATAATAACATAGTGATGAAATTAAGGCTGATGAACATGAGATACACTCGAAATTGTATTGAAAATCATAAAATCAAAAAATGGGATACCGAAATATCCTAATAATT